GATACACCAATGATGAATGCTAATCAGAACTAATAGCAGAAAATTCCATCAATATTCTAATGAATCGTTTTCCAGGTGTGGGCTACGCGATCTGTCTGATTGACATATAACATGGGAATGTACTACAACACGATCATAGGATGGGCAGTTTACTATCTGTTTGCATCCTTCAACTCGGAATTGCCTTGGACGAAATGCGGGGAACAGCTGGAACACGCCGTTCTGCACCCCGGTCACTAATCCCCAATTGGAAAACTCCACCAGCCCGGGCCGCCGAGTTCTTTGAGTAAGTAATAAATGATATTTTTTATTTATTATGAAAGTGGTAATAAATATATTTTTTATTTATATAGTATTCTATATTTATTATTATTATATCTATTATTATATATTATATATTATTCCAAATAAATATGGAATTTATTTTATATGCGCTTGTGACTATATTTTTCACAAACCATTAGAAAATGCTTAGTATTCGTATAATGATTTATACCTTATTTTTCTCCAAAATATAATCAAATTATAGTTACTTATTACAACTACATTCACTGATGTTTTTTTAATTGTCATCGTTCTATATTACGAAGATATTTAGTAGGTAATTTTTTTGACATCATACTTAGCGTGTGGCTTATTAAGAGGGCAACCTGTAGTTGTTCTATTCTAGATGTACCATCAGTATTTTTGACATCAAATATTTTAGCAGCCATGACCCAAAAAAACTGCTTTTCACTTCATATTTATGATCTCAAGTGAAAAATAAAACTTATTGATTTACAATGACTGGTAGTTTGATGTAATAAATACTTACAATAATGTATTTTAAGTTTGTATTTTATTGTATCAGTGATGATACAAAATCATATGTCAAAACTTAAGTAACCCAAAGATGCTCTAGAATGTTTTAATTTTTACTTCATGCTATTCAAAAATTTAATCTATTCTATTTCTGCAAAATGAATTGTACAAATATATTGCTTGCAATAGAAATCATATTATTAGGCTACAAAGCATTTTTATCAACTTTGTATGCGTTTAAATGGTTATTTTCTATTGGATTCAGATTTTTAATCCAATTTTTTTAATTAAAATGAATATGCTGCATGATATCAGATTACCCAGAAAAACCACAAAAATACTGAAACATATGTATCTTACAAACTAAAACAATAAAATAAAAACAGATAAATTTTCTTTCTTCAAATTATTGTTATATCCATCAAAATAGAAATTTAATATATTTTTATATTTAAAGTCATGAAATTTAATAATTGAGTGAAGTGAATTTATTCATTATTATTAATTATTCATATTCATTTTGATTTATGAGATTACACGATGTCATTTTTTCTATTTAGCCTTAAAAGTTAAGACAAAGTAAGCAAAAGTATTCATATGATACTCCTAACTCAATTCAAAATACTCCTAATAAATACTCCCTATTATATGGCTTGCAAATTATAAAAATATTTTAAACCCAGAATTTTAAAATATTCAGTTTATTATGATAATCCTCAATATAATATTTATCAATACAGCGTTTACAGTCGATCGAAACTGATTTTAATTATATTGCTTTTAATTTTATTCATCTTGAAAAGCTAAGACGCGAATGATTTTTCTGTCGATCTGCAAAGTAATTAAAATCAAGACATTTAATAATTTCTTGTTAATGAATATTTTATATCTTCGTTAATGCACTTTTACAATTTTAATCCTGAAGGATTATGAAGAAATGGATTTAGAACGTATTTCCTTATTTTATACTATTTTTCAGAGCTAAACCAAGAAGAAATTTCTCATGCTCTACTAGATATGCCTTGCTAGATATAAACGTACCTATGTCTTTTACAAAAATATTGCCACAAGTAAAATAATTATTATAAACTATAATATTATTAGCAAATGTAAAAATTCTGCAATTGTTCCTTGTGAGTCCAATTTAACAAAATCTGACAAAATACTTTATATAAGACAAACAACTTAGTACCTACACTATTTAATTTTATTAGTGCATATACTACTGCCAATGAATTTACTTGTACAAAATACATGTAGATATTCTATATATTGTGTGAAATTATTGAAAAAAAAGAATTTTAAAAATACGCACAAAATACATATATAACTTATATATTTGTGTGAATATATTGAGAAGTCGTCAGAATTTCAAAACACACAATTTTGAAAAAAAAATATAAATATATCCTAAAATCTTGCCTATATGTCTCGAATGCTTTCATCTCACATGATAAAGAACTTGAATGTCAAAACCATTGTTTGACAGCTGTAAATAAATTTTAATGCAAGGGTGAAAACATTGAAAAAACACAAAAATTTAATGAAAAATCACTGATGCGTTTATTATTGACTTTCAGGCGCAACGTACTAGAAAAATATCGTTCAGATGGGCTTGATATGATGGGACCTATCAAACCATCCCTCGCCCTTTGTGTTTTTGGAGTGTTCGTCTTAGTTTATTTTTCGCTCTGGAAAGGTGTGAAAAGTGCTGGAAAGGTAAATTGAGATTTTCTAATCATTGGTATAGAACATAATTTTCTCATAGTGGTGGAACAAACTATAAAAAACACGTCTTAATAATCCTAACATTATTCGACATACTTAATATTTTAAATAGAAGATGCAAGAACTTTTTGACATGTTAAATAATTAATAATAATTGATATTTACCTATTTAGAAAAAAAATGATTTTTAAAATTCAAACACTTTTTGTAGGACTAAAAAAAATTTGGATATTTGCCTAGAACATAGCCTCTCAAACTTCTAAGTTTTGACAATGGATTCTATGACCACGTTAGTTTCGAAAAAAACGAAAATAAATATTTAATATAAGAAATGGCGTAGCCGATCTTTGCGAAAAACTAGACGGTTATAAAACTTTCGAATTGGAATAAAATTTTTGCAAAAATTTGCACTTTTTTGATTATGAAAAAAACGTCTTGGACAATCGTTGTAAAAAACATGACAAAAAAGTAAAGCAAGGCTTCATCGAGTTACATCGAATGGCTTAAAAAAAATTAAAATCAGCGCTTGAAAGACGTCGACGAAAGGAAATTCAAATATAGATTTTGATGAAAGTATTCTATTCTATTCAAATTTAATTAATTATTTTTATGTATTATATTTTATATAAGAACAATATGAATTATATAAACACTTCTATATTATTAATAATTTGAACTATTTTATTAAAAATGTTGATATTTATTTTTAGTTAAAAAAATTTAAATATCGTACTTAAATATCGTATTTATATCATATTATTCTTTAGAAATAAATATGTTCATAATTAGAATTTTTGTTCTGACAGAGTAAATTATATTGGCAGTTTTTTTTATAATTAATTTATAATTTAACCCAACCTAATAATATTATAAACAGGAATATATTATTCTAACATAAAATATTTGAATATTGCACTTAAATCAATATAATAATGTAATATTTATTAAACAAACTTCGATTGATAATGTATCAGACATTTAGCTTTTTTTTATGGAAATTAGAGTACTCCTTGAATATGAAACTATTGTTATTAAGTACGAAAAAATCTATGAAAACAGGTTTTGCGAATTATTATTCTATACATATCTTATTATTTGATAAAAATTTAAATATACTATTAGTTATAATAATCAACATTTTCTATAAGAAAACTTCTCAAAATATGAGCTTTAGTGAAAAATTTAATACTATAGTATAAAACTCATTTTATAAAATATTATGGATTGAGTTAAGCCTTTGTTCATTTATATAGCATAGAAATTCTCGACGTCTTTATTTTCTCATCTATTTTTTAGTAAAGTAACAGTAGTTTTAGCTTCAAATTTTTAGGAGGTAGTCTACTCTGGTTATTCGTGGCTATTTTCCGAACCGCAATATCAAGTGATACTAGGATATATATTTTTTATTAAAAATATAACCATTTTGATCGCATATGAGCAATACTTAATTCTTGCACGTTAATATATAAAAACAAAAGAAATAAAATTTTATCAGGATTAAACTTCAAATAAGAAAATAAAATACATCACAACTTTTCTCCAACTATTACAAATAAAATTTCATTACAGGCATAAAGTTATTCAGTTATTTCCTTTAATGAACAATTTCATATAATTGCCGATAAATTATTTTCTAAAGATAAAAGTTTCCGTTTGTATATTATATTGAATTCGCTTCACGGTTTGATAAAGGCATAAAGTAGGCGAAGTAATCAACGAGACAATCACTATAAATTCTCACAAGTCAATGAATTCAACAACGAAGAGTTGAAAAGCAAATTACTGGAAAAATACATAAATTAACTCATTTAACTTCAATTACTGAAATGAACCGAGCCAATAATAATGATTGAAATGTAATGGTAACAGAATCACGTAAACTTCAAGAATTATAATACATTTATATAAAAAAATATAATTTATTAGACTATATTTGCAATATCACAAACATTGGGAAATTGTTGTTATAGATAGAAAATATAACTAATTAAATATAAAGACTATCTTTTGAAGAATGATCTAGAAGCGTTTCCAATAAGTAATCTCAAAAAATTATTTGTTACCAATTCTCCAATTTTTTACTTTCCGAAGAAAATCCATTTGCTAACTTTGTGATTTTGTTTGATGTTTCAAATCATTCAGGACAATGTGGCACCAAAATAAAAAAAAAAATGTGTGATTTTGCATATGAGCCAATTGAAATTTCAATATTAATACGTTCAACTATCTTAGCTAACATACTGTATTAATTATTTTTAGTAATAATTTAAGACCGCCCATCTGGCGATAATTTATATTTACATATAAAAATAGTTAAAATGAAGTACTTTTTTATTCTACTGATAGTATTTCTTTCCATTCTATTAGATTTTTTTTCATTCCATTAGATTTTTTTTATTCTAATTTATGGATAATAATAGATAGATCCTCTTATTGATATTTTAGGATTTTGGTGATTTCACTTATATTCTGAAATATTTAGTTCCGTATATAGTACTATTTAGTCATTTTCAGATAGTTTAATATATTAGAAATTCATTATGATACTTCGAACAAATGATTTATACCTTCTCATATTTCTATATTAATATGTAAACATTTCTGGCAAACTGTTATAATGAGAACGAGATTTTTTGCCAGAGGTTTTTTTTTCATTAGAGCCGTAGATTTATAATCAATTATATAATTATACTATATTCATTTATTTTCTATAATATTAGGTGGTTTGGGTAACAGCTCTAGCCCCATATATAGTTCTTCTAATCCTTCTCGTCCGAGGTGTATCTTTACCAGGAGCCGCTGAAGGCATCCGTTACTATTTGACTCCGGAGTGGCACAAACTTCAAAACTCAAAGGTTAGCTCCAAACATTTATTTAATTCTTTAAAAACAAAAGCCGAAGGTATATTGTTTTAAATCCTTCTCAAGGTCTGGATAGACGCCGCCTCACAAATCTTCTTTTCACTGGGACCAGGATTCGGCACCCTGCTGGCATTGTCTTCGTATAATAAATTCAACAACAACTGCTATCGTGATGCTATTTTAACGAGCAGTATCAATTGTCTTACGAGCTTTTTGGCTGGATTTGTTATCTTTTCAGTACTTGGGTAAGTTCTACACTTCTTAAGTCTCTGATGAAAAGGATTATTAAATCCATAGATATTACATGGTACACTTCTTTAAGTCTGGTTTCATAATTTTTAATATTTATACAGTATTTAATTAATGGCAAAATTTATATTAAATAATATACACATTATTATAGTAATAAGATTTAACGATTGCTGGAAGTTATTACGATGCTAAGATGCTATGTTCTTTATATTGTGTGAAAAAATTAAATGAACACACATCTTTAGGTTCGGTTTATTAATATTTAAATATTTAGACAATATCAAGAGCTGTAATCAATTGTATTTTTTTTATTAAATAACTAGATGACCCGACAGACGTTGTCCTGTACCCATGTCTACAATTTTTTAATATAATATACTATTATTTGCCGTTTACCTAAAAATAATATTTATTGTTTTTTAAATTACTCTTCACGCCAAAATGCATATACATTTATAACATGAACTATGTTAAATGCAGAATTGCTTTAAATAAAGTGATGAGTATCAACTCCCACATTTTATTGGAAATTGAAGTCTTTTAAACGGTCTAACCTACCCATTACCATAACATAACACTGGTACATCATGTTGGATTAAATTAATTTAATTTTTTATTATTTAAGATATCCAAAATTGCATCTTAAACTTCTCCTAATCGATATCGTGAAGGGCGAATTGTATGTATTCATCTTTACTTTCCTATTTGTTGTTATAAAGTGAAATTTTTACGAAATTTAAAAATATTGTGGAAAGATTAGTAAAAGATGCAAAGAAATTATATATTGAAAAAAAACTATATTGAAAATTTAATACCCGAATCTTGTGTTGGCGCCCCCTAAGGCGTGCACTCGTATATTTTGCATGCACTGCATTAAAGATAGGATCTGCCCTGATTAACACTTAATTTCATATTTTAAGTGAATTAATTTGTCATATCCTCTTCATATGTGTATCATTCAATCAGACATTTCATTTTTCTTATTCATAATCATAAGTTAATTATACATATTCTAATATTGTCTAGATTTATATGTGAATTGAAATTTTTGGAAGATCATAGTTTTTATTTGGTTTCAATGCATGTCGTTTTTTACAATATTTCACATTAATTTCTACAATTTTGCACATACATCCCAGTACTTTATAATCACATACATCCTAGAAAATTTCCCTAACAAACTTCAGAAAGATTTATCAAAATCCGCATAATCGTTTAGGAGGAGTATACAGTGAGTGCTTGTAATTTAATAGGTGATAACTTTATATAATAGCAATAAAGCTCAAATTTATTCTACGTTTTAGTTAGAAAACGTTTGTTTGAGAAAAAGAACAGGGCTGTTTTTAGGGTTTTCCCGGCAATTATTCATTTTTTTCTCGCCGTAAGAACCATCTTTGGACTTCAACGAAGATTTTAAAAAAGAATTGAACAAATTGGTCCTGGCGTTGCTGAGTTATGCACTTACCAACACATTTTGCGATTCATTTTTATGTACGAGTATAAGAAGATATCCAATGATACGTTGTCATATAATAGTTTGTAAATTAATTTCAATAACAAAGATTACATTTATCCCATTATAAATTAAATATTAATAATATTATGTTTTTATCTTGTAATTTGCAATTACATCAAAACTGGTAAAAAGTTTGAACTGACCTATGTTGTCGCATTGGAAATGAAATAGATAAATGATGATTTAAATTGAAATCGTATTCTTGAGTCCCAATCTCACAAAGTTTTACTGTATACAAATCAAGCGAAAGGTGTTCGAAAGATGTTGAAGTTTTGTACTATATTTTTTTTACCAATTATGCTTTTATTATTTAACCAGGTTCTGTCTAATTTCTAATTTGATACCAAGAGTGAATATTTAACTGTGTTTTGGCTTCTGCTTTAAATTTTTATTGATTTATAATACTTTTTTTTCCAGGTACATGGCCCATGTTCAAAACAAATCGATCGAACAAGTTGGCTTGGAAGGCCCTGGTTTAGTTTTCATAGTGTACCCCGAAGCTATAGCAACCATGTCAGGCAGTGTCTTTTGGTCCATTCTCTTCTTTTTGATGCTGATTACCTTGGGCTTGGACAGCACTTTTGGAGGATTAGAAGCAATGATCACAGCTCTCTGTGATGAGTACCCACGCGCCTTGGGCAGAAGACGAGAATGGTTCGTCATGGTCCTCCTGGTGCTGATCTATATTTGCGCGCTGCCAACATGCACTTACGTAAGTTTTTGTTTATTATTTTTGTTAGTATATTATTTCACAAATGTTCTCCTTGAATTTACTCTGCAGCTTAATATTATAACGTCCTTCTGCCTTGCCCTATATCTTTCGCTCCCTGCATAAGTAGGCTTAACTTATGTATCGAGATCAAAATATATAGGTATTGCGAATCACCTCAAGAATAACAGCCACTTCGCGGTAAATTAAAACACCAGAGCCACGTGTTTAACTTTAATCAATCCGAGAATCTAAAAGCTTTTCGCAATGTGTTTTATTCATTGGCCTGGAGGGGTGTCATTCTTGATTCCGCCCCATTTACGACGCGGCGGCCGTTTCTATTGCCGATTTATATTAACATTGCCATCGTGCTGGACTCGGGAACTAAACGATAGTTTGAATTCGAAATACCATATTTTTTACATGAAATCCGGGACGGATTAGAATGTTAATGAGAGCTGAGGGGGGGAAGGTATTGGTGACTTAAAAACTTGTTCGAACATTTCTTCAGTTCAAATTTTCTAGTTGAAATATATTTAAAAAAATATTGGCAATCAAAGCAATTTTAAAAATCCGGGACAATCCGAGACAAAATACATAAAACCGGGACAAATATTGCTTTTAAAAAAAAGCCGGGACGCAAGGCGGAAAATCGGGACTGTCCCGGCCAAGACGTATGGACGTATGGTCATTTTAATTTTAAATAGTCGAAATAATTTTGACAAATTCAATTTAATTCAATCAATTAAGAAAGTTCTTTTTTACTTTAATATGTAGGGAAGATTGGGTACGGTTGTGCCAGAGTACGATAGTGACAGTTGTCACAACAGCTAAATTGTACTAATTTTGAGTTACAGTCTGAAGGAAGAAATATGAAATATGATTATTAAGATAATATGGCTTAGTTTAATGATGATTTATTCTCAAAAGTGTGCGGTGCATGTACGAGTTCATGTCGTATTTGTTATCCTTTTCGGGTAAAGATTAAACAGCTAAAAAAAATTATCTCAACCAAAACAAAATGCGAAAGAGAAAGGAAAAGAAATATTCAAAATGCGAAAAAAAATTACAAAGAATTCTTGTTAACTTTGTTTAAAAAATTCTGCTTGATTCCATTCTATTCATACTATTTGTTCAATTGTTTATATTATGTTGTGTTACGTATTACTTTAATTAACGACAATAAATGTCGTTTTAAACCATTTTGCTGTTTATCCTAGTGTTTTTAACCTATTTTATGCCTGACACAACCGTCATTGGGGGTGTGAACAAAAAAACAATAGTTCTAGAATTTTATCTAATAAATACCAAAATTAGTTTCTTTTTTGAACATTAATTTAAACTAAAAAATGGATTTTTACCTTAAGGCAAGTTGCCTGAACTTCCCAACATGTGTAAATAAGCGGCTTAATCACTAAGAACTTAGTATATTAATTTATGAGTGATTTTTAAGAAAACAGAGTTGGTATGGGACAAAAAGGACTTTGATGATTTTTATTAAATTAAACGACTTGTCGTAAGGCTGTAATATTCTAATATGTTCATCATCATAGATGTTCTCTATTATCACAATATGTTTCATAAAATCATTTTCTTTTTAACTATGAAGAAACATCTCTGATATTGTTCACTAAACGCTAATCAGCACGATTTCCAATCAATTTCTTTCAGACAGTTTCAGAACTTTTGGTTAGATTCAAATTTTTTGAATAAAACGGGTACGAAAAATTTCGCACTTCTCTACTTATTACAAAAAAAAACATTTGGCCGATCTTTGCGCAAATCTGCTAAAAGGCAGTTTCTGTCTAGTAACTAGACTTTAGTTACATGTAAGAGCTTTTAAATTTATGAAATAGGTGCAGTCATTTTTGAGAAAACATCGCTTAAAGGTTAAGAATTGACTTACATTTACACACACACATGTAAATATTTTTCAAATTTGGTCTCAAACAATTAAGAATGACTTCAAAAGTCTATACAACATGATATTAGCAAGTCGATTTGTTTCGTGAAAGCAAACTTCTCTATCATTAAGTTAACAATAACTATTTAATTTTAATGGTCTGGGGCGTTAATAAAGTTCGACAGAAAAAAGCTCAACAGTCTATGTGATTAAAATTGTATAATTATATTATCTTACTTCCATTTATGTTCGTTTTTATTACTTTCTTGGATTTATCGAGGTTTTGTATAAATGTATCTATGAATCGTTCATCTTGATGCCGGCGCATTAGCGCTCGCCAACTGTATAAGCAACTCGTATTTTATCGGCATCCCTTTGCCATTTTTGCACCTCGGTCATGTCATTCATTAACTTGGTTAAGATAAGAAAGTATTCCACGAAACGATGGTATACATTTCTAATAGAAGATGGGAAGAATATGGGATTTTTTTAACATGTAGATATTAATCTCTCAATATAAGATGATAGTCAATCAATTAATTTAGCTCAGTCATAATGATGATTCGTTTTCAAAAGTGTGCATTTGGTACTCTTGTTACTAATTGGGAAATACAATTTTTCAATTATTGCTAAATAGTCATAACTTAATATAGCTATTAATTGGCCATTCGTCGAATTGAACTCTTAGATTTTATAAGACCATTAGAGCTATATCAGTGTGAAAATTTATTGAAGTCGTCAAAATACATTTTTTACAATTACAATTAAAGATTTAACAGCACAATTTACCATTTAATTAAATAGTTTGTCTTGATCAACTAAAATAAATTATAACAAAAAAATAAAGAGGTTTTCAACTTTTCAACAAAACATCGACTAAAGGGCAAATTTTTGCCACACACTTTTTCTATATTGGAGTCAAACGATTCAGAAAGAGATGGATGAAAGTTAACTTAATATATAAGAAAAACATTTAGTAATAGTTTGCTGAGAATTATTGTATTAGCATTTTGTATATACATAGAATTAACACGTTTGCGTGAATTATTTTAAATAATAATACAAATATTCATAAATTGATTATTTAACATAAAAACTAAGTTGAAGTAAACTGTGTTGACTACTCATGCTACTGATTTCTCTGAATTTGATAAACTACATTCAAAAAATCCTGTGTAAGATTTATCTAGCATTTATAGTATATAGGTGTATAAATTTAGTTAAGTAAATCATTTTTTATAATTAACTAAAATTAATTCAAGCAATTTATAGTTATTTTTCCGAATTTTTTGTATCATTCTCTATTGCCTGTTTATTATTTATATGGATAATATGGATAATAATATGGATAGTATTCATATGGATAATAGTGATCATATTGATTGTAACCGTAATCATACTGGTCACATAAATTATTGTAGCATGTGTCGTCATTGGTACAATTATTAACAGCTTCTATTGCAATATTAATATTGTTGATGATAGATATATAATTATTTACTGAAGGTGTGTTCATCAATATGTTATATCTTCAAACAAATGACTAATAGCGTTGGCTAATAAAAGCATATTTTCATCTTTAGGATCTGCATTTGCTTCTAATGTTTCAGCAAGTTGTTGAACAGCGTTTGCGATTGCTTCATGGTCATGTCCAAATTTCACTAGAGGTAATAAAGCTTTTGGTTTTTTTAACTCCTCGGGATGCCAGGAGCAATCATGTTCTACGCATTGTACAGATATGGAGTAAAGAACTCCAATATAATTGCAGATTTGCTGCACAGGTTGAAATACTTGGTCTCCACCTTCTCTGCCAAATATGACTCTTTTCCTTTTTGCTGGTCCCCCTTCATCATCTGAATGATCACCCGAATTCAGCATAATACTAGTCGTCGTGTTTACTACAAATTCATTAAATGATTCTTGGCTATTTTGAGTTAAATAACCATGAGCGAATGTAGCGACTTCAGTAATCATTTGTTTAAAAGAACTTAATAAAAGTCCTTGGAATTCTGGGAAACCTAGCGGAATCTTTGCAGCAAATTTAGATGCTGTTCCATTTTGATGGTCGTGGTCCTTCGAGTCGTCTACTTGATTTGGGCAAAATTTCTGCAGGAATGATGTAAGACACTTTTGCGGTGGATTGACAAATTGTTTAAACTGACCAATTGCCTATAATGAATGAAATTAGTTATTTTATATTGAATGAAATAACTCGTAACTTTGTCAAAAATTACTTTCTGTTCATTCTGCTTTTCTTTTGCATGGTTGTGTTTCTGATGGAATCGGTTGCCAGGCCGACGGGCTTGAATTTCTAAATAAGTTTCAAATTATATTTAAAAAAAAATGTACTGGATATAATATTATAATAACATGTAATCCAAAAATATTAAAAAAATATAATATTTTTATTATTTATTTCATATTATATCTTACCAGCCACCAGTAGCAAAGAAAACAAAGCCAACACCAGTTTTTTGTCCATTGCTCCTTTAAAATTGAAACATCTATTTGCACTATTTATACTAAACATTTTTGACTTTTATTGTGATGCAACATACATATATAATATTTTTTATTGTTATTCATTAGTATCTAAATGCATTTTTGGAGAATTAGTTGTAATAAAAATGCTTTTAAAGTTAATTATGATAATTGATATAAAGGAATAATACAATATTATGAGCAATAATATTGATTTGTTACAAAGCTCCAATATCATTGCCTTTTTATGATAAAACTTTAGATAAACTTTTTTTGTGTAAGTGATTGATATTTTGATAAAAAAGTATTTATTTTTATAACAAATTCAAATTTTGGATTATATATAATCGATATTAATACTATTAATAGTTCCAATTTGTAAATGATAAATCAAGCATCACTAGGTATCGGTCTTTTATTTTTGTAGAGTTTTATATATTTTGATGTGTTAACATTAATTAAAATTTTATAAAAATTGCCATGAGTTGCTGAATAATGACATATATCAAGTGTCGAAACGTATAAATTTAATTTGTATAATTATTAATCTAATTCGTTTTTTATTGTACGAATTGATTTGTTTTATATTACCGAACACCTTATTAATATAAAAAAAATTGGCAAGATGAATAGAAATTTTAATAATGTGTTTCGTACCAAGATTTTTAATTACGGTACGGGGAAGTTCCAGCAATTTGCTTTGAGGCACGATACCATGCACATTATAATTTTGGCATCATATAAAAGATTAAAGTTGCACTTTTTTTAAGACAAAAAGTTAAAACATAATTCACAGAAACGCAAATGAAAAAAAAATCTACTCGAAAAATTTCAATAAGTTTAGTGAATCGCTCAGTTGAACGTGTGCGCTAATATTTTTTATTTGAATAAGATTACAAATATTAATGATAGTATTATTACATTAAGTTATAATTTAAATTAATTATTTTTCTCATTTTTATTCGAAACAAACATATATAACATGCATAAATATTAATTATATAAATAAACAATTCAAATATTGATTAATGAAGTGCATTCAATTTTATTTGATTTTTTATTTACATAGTTATATAAATTTAATATTATAATATTTAATAACATAATATACAAAAATCACCGAACATACAGGGGTGTTCAAGAGGGTCTTCTAGCAATAGATGACATACATTTTTTTTAATTTTTTTTTTTTTGAAAAATCATATGTACATAAGTTATTTAGATATGATTTTTCAAAAATCAAAAAAAAAAATGTTTGTGTCATCTATTGCTAGAAGACCCTCTAGAAGATATAACCATATTGGTACAATTATAATAAGATTGACATAGTATCATCAAATAGCATCTTTTTGGTAAATTTTATTGACTTTGCAAGCTTAGATCAATTATGTAGTTTAATTTTTATTATCAATGTCTTATAATATAGTATTTTATAAGACCAAAAATAACATAATTGCAGCGATAGCTGTTAATATTAACTTAAATTCTCCAGCTTCCTGCTTAGAGTCATCTTCGAGATTTTCCATTGATTCTAACTGACTAGCAAATTTTTGGACAGCATTTGCGAGGTAGTCATGATCGTGGTTAGATCTCGTTGAGGTCTCCACTAAATTTCGATATTCTTTTAGCTGATCAACTTGCGACGTACAATTTTGATTTTTACATTCTTGAGTAATATTATGAAGAGAGATTAAAAATTCGCATGCAACATCTCGGAATTTTATGGCAGGTTTACCGTTTCCATGACTTTGTTTGCGGTATATTTTTTTACCTTCCAAGTCATTTGAACTATGCGAACCAACTGCTTCATCCATGTTTTCCATTGTTTTTTCTATTTGAAATTAAATCCTGATGATCTGGTTCTTGAACATTAGTTTTAGTCGCCAAGTTGAGCATTACTTTTACCATTGTACCGACTAGCAAATCATTGAAAGCTTCCTTGCCGTATTTATTTGCAAAAGCATGGGCGTACGTATAAATTCTAGGATCATTTTGTTGAAATCTCGTAAAAACCTCATCTTGAGAACTCTATTTTTCAATCTATAGTTTCTCATCAGGTGTGGATACTGATTCGAATATTCTGGACAATAAGTTTGCAAAGTCCTGAATATGATCTGCGGTTCGACGACTTTGGGACTATCAATAATATTGCTGGAACGAGTTGTATACATGTCATTTTTTTCCTATAAAATATAAATGAGATTACTGAGCTATATGTTAAACTTAATTTTTGTTAAGTGTTTCTATAAGTTACTTCAGTGAAATCACTTAGATTTTTTTTCTCTACTTCAAACTTCGTATTAGCGTTTTTGAATCCAATTACTTGAGTTTCTGAAATGTATAATTTTTATTTGAAAAGGGAAATCAAATTAAAATAATACCGAATTAAAATAACACAGATTACCCGAGACTCCTAATATAACACATAGTATGAAAAAAGTGATATTGCCATCTTCTTGCAAAAGTGATATTGCCAAATTTCTAGCAAATACTAATATAGATAAAGTATGAAACAGGAGTAAATTCTCTTTTATGCAAAATTTCATTCCATATGATTCAGCAATTTTATGATTCAAATGGAAATAAATATATTTACTTATCATTACCTATTGCTATAACATTTACTCATACCTTTATAGTTAATTCTCTATCCACTTACTAGTAATTAAACTAATTATTATAATAGATATGTAATATGTTCGAGGTTAACAAATAACCATAAAAATTCACCGGCAATTAATTTTACGAGTGATTTTCGAATATTGCGCCACTTTGCCTTATTGTACAAAAAATTCTGGTAATAGAATGTGTTGTACCATAAGTTGCCATTAATAATTATTTTATAATTTTATCATAAAAATTTTAATAAAATGTAATGAAGCAGTGAAAAGTTTTAAATATGAGAATAAAAACAATTATTATAATATTTCTCAGTGTTGCGGGTAAGTCATAACAATGAACTAATATATGAACTTTTTAAATATCTGATTACATATCCAAATAATTTTATAAATTTCAGCTCTGGCAAAAAACAAAATGCGGATACCAAAGTAAGATTTGTAAACCAATCAAGATTTCTGATAATATTTTATTCATTTTATTTATTTATTTTATTTTAAATAGGTTTTAAGAAAAAAACATCAACAATTTCACATGCAAAACCACGTAACCATACCGTATCAAATTCTGACTTTACACATGGACCAATATATGAAACCATATGCAGTAACAATCGACAATCAAAATATGCCGAAGTTTAATTTCTCAAGAGATGATTTAGAATGGATAATAATAACAACCAAATTTTTCACACAAGTGCTTGATTTTATAGAAAAATGTAAAAGATTTGATTCGTACTGTATTATATTTTTTCAAGCCCTTTTGAAAAATCGACGTGCTTATCAAGCTAACTTTAAGAGATGTTTTCACGAAAAGGATTTTGCTATTGTTATAAAATGTATTAACGAAGAATTAGATAATAAAACATGACGACCAGGACTTGATTTAGGAGCTCCAGAAAAAAACATTTGAACATTCTATCAAATATGAAATGTATTATGAATAAATAGCATGTACAAACTATATTGATTATCAAACTGTATATTAATTAATAATAGAGATACTGATGAAATAATAATTTATTATAATATACGATTAAATATAATTTAACAAATTAAATTGAACTAAATCATACTTTACTTCTATTTCACTTAAATTTATGAATATTTTTTTACATTTAGTCTTATATAATATTCTAAAAATTTATTAATTTTGAAATGAACAACTTAAAAAACCAAGGTAATTTTTTGTTTATGAGTAAAAAGATTGTTTTTGAACATGAACTTTAGATGTACACAAATCGAAATAAAAATCAAAGTAAACGATAGATTCATCAACTTCCCCAAGAAAAAAGTCCACAATTTTGACAGAAAATCCTATTTGCTAATTTTATGTTTTCTCGGGTTTTTATGAATCTGAATTTGACATTAAAATTAAACGATATTTCATGTGTGTGTATGCAAGTCAAAATTGTCGAAGTTTTCTCAAAACCGATCTATCGATATAAAACATTAAAAAACAGCTGTTACAATTAGCAAAGAAGTTTTTGTTCACGTTTTTGCCAAATTCCCGAAAAATTCAGAAACTGTTAAAAATATACCAGTTAGAAGTGGTGCTGATTAGTTTTAGTAATGATCGGCCGTGACGTTTTTTCGTGAATTGTTTTAAAAATGTAACTTTGCTTGGTGATATATTATGATACTATAATAGTTTTAAGTATAACCAAACATCTTAAATATTATAGGCCTACGAGAACTGGTTCAACAATAAAAATTCATCAAAGTTGGGTTTATCGCAATTTGAAAAGATGATACAAGTGGCAAAATGCGACTTGCATCTAGTTAAGGGCATCCATTAATCACGTGATCGTTTTTT